TTATTTCATGAGAGAGAGAGAGAGAGAGAGAGAGAGAGAAGTGAAAGTGATAATAGGAACAAATAAGTTACCGCTATCATAATGATAATTTCTCACTTATAAATACCATATACAGTATTTATTATCCTGGTAATATTTCTCATATTTAATTAAATTACACTAAATTTCCCGACCTGTTATTACTAAATTATCAACGTCATATTTTTACAACAAAAAATATCTAACGTATTTCTAACACTATTTATAAATGTGTAAAATTGCCACTTCCTTGTTAAGTAATTTTCGCAATACATGTATTCAAAATATATAAGTAATTGCAAATAAAATTACTAAACCATATATAATAGATGTAAAATCTTTTAACAGGATGTTATTATTAATATAATAACTTATTAACAATCTTTTAATAATTTTTAACTACTATTACCTAAAATTTAAATTACAATAACTTTTCAAAATACATCTACATTTATGTAATTCATACTTCAAATATAGATTATAGTCTTTCCAATTGATTATTAAATGCAAAATAAAAATGATAATTTAATTTACACCACCATATAGAATGTAGACATGTATTTAATAACCAAGTAACTTTCATAGCAACAGATTAACAAGTTCAAGTTATTGTGTGATGAAATTATAACGGTTTTGTACGCTATATGGAGACAAATATGGTTTTATCAAGATCATGTATTTATTATAAATATTAGATGGGGTTAACTCTATGTAAATGATCAATGTTAAATCATTTTATGGTAACCAATTATTAAAATAGATTAAAAATCGTTATTTATTTATTAAACATAACCTAATTAAACCATGACCAAAATAAGGATATAATATGCCAATATATGCATGCATAAGGTATTAAAATTAATTATGCTAAAAAATTAAACATAGCAAGTTTATAATGGACATTACAATATGCTTACCAAATTAAAGTTAGGTTAGATATAGTTGATTAAAAACGGGCGTAAAAGTGGTGTAGACGTGTAATGAGTAAATTGAGGTATTTATATAGTCATTGAGTATTATGTTTCACATTTATGAATGAGTGGTATTTGTATTATTATCTAGATTTAAATATTTCAAATAAATTAATGTAGATGTAGTGCCAGTGAGGGGTGGAAACAACAATAACAAAACTATTTGATTAGGAACTTTTAAAAAAATTGTTTTTTTGTAATATTAATACAAGCTCAGTTACAGCACTAATAATCGAGCTTTGTGGAAACCATGACTATTGTAGTCACTATATGTGTTACAATGATGAAACACATTGCAAACATCAAACATGCTCACTATTACTGTATTAACAACTGCTGTGTTGCTTATGGAGGGAAAATTCCCGTCTTATTGCAATGAATTATATGTGGAATTTTACCTAGGGGGTACATTCCTGAATAGTTCCCACCCCCTCTCAAATAACTTTCTAATTCTCAGTATTTTATTTATGAATGGACAGCACAACGTTTTACTGACATAGTTTGATCATGTAAAGTTTTTGTTTTAGCATTTTTGTTCAATGAGTCATAGAATATTTGCATATATAAAAGCGCGTGCTTATTGTTCCTCCTATATTTATCATGCACATCCTGTTGTTGTTTATTTGTGAGCTAGCATTTACTTGGTAAATTAAATATAGCTAGATTATAAACAGTTTTGTTGCTATTTTTGCTACTAAAATTGGTTCGAGATTTTATGTAACGTAAATAAAACGTATGTTAGTGTTAACGGGAGTAGACTGTACAGTAATATTTTATTACTTATAGAATTACAGGCAAAATTAATTATAATTCCTCCAAGGTTAATTTAATAAGAAATGTAACATTATCTATGTACGATATGTTATATAATCTTAATAATAAATTTAACTAATTAAATGCTGGTAATCTATATATAATCTTGGTAATTAATTTAGATTTAATTAAAGCTAATATATGTAGAGTGTACTGTACTATTAGTATAATTTATATAACAAATAAATTACGCAAGTTCCTATGCACATATTATAATTATTGTTGGTTAAATTTAGTATAAAAATTAAATTACGAGTATAAATATAAGTAATTATACAGCGGACATTTAGAAACTAGATTAACCATGCAAAAAATTAATTTTAAATCAACTACATGTTTGTTTAGTAAATATCACAACTTACATGTGTAAAATAAATCGTCACGTAATTTATGACCAACACCTCAGAGACAGACAACGAGTTTTTGTAAACACTAAACTATTGGTGTTCAAAGAAGGTCCTTTTGGGACCTTGAAGTAGAAAAGCCAATGGTCATAAACAACATTAAAATTATGTTTTAAAGTTTGGATTAAAAATTATTAATCATTTGAATGAATGAACATATTATGCACAGAGGGTCAAATGTTGATAAAATTGTTGATAATCGCAAACAATATCAGAAATCTCATGATAATGTATATTTAATAATTGAACTTTGTTTTAAAATGATGTTTTGTCGATAGACTGAAAGCCAACCACTATAAAATGGGTGATAAACTATTAGGTTGACCTTCACGCGGTGTTTCTCGTTTAATACTGACAAACATAAACTTTTTTACTGACCGATGCGCCACCTTTTTATGGCACACTGTGAATCTGTACTTGTGATATGCTAAAAAAGATTGAACACCAATACACTAAACAAAACACAAAAAATGTTTTCAATTGATATTTAAATACAGTTTTTTGAATGCATTTTAAAAGTGATTGACAACCGATTAACAGCTGATCCGACCCATCGGTAGACCCACTAGTGTTGGCCGACACACAAGCGGGCGGTCAGTGTCTGTGTGGCCATGGATTCGGACACCGATTACGACGAGGAGGAAGACAACGAACAACAGGAGCCGAGACGCGGATCGGCTGACGAATGGCCGGCGCCGGCGGTGGCCGTCGACGAGGAGGACGAAGACCTGACGGATATCGACGAGACGGCGGCGGAGGCCGAGGGGGCGGTCGACGAAGAGGTGGGTCCGGACGGCCAGACCCGGCAACAGGTGGTGGACGAGTGCGTGCAGGCGTTCAGAGCGCGCGACTACATTATGGAGCCGGGAATCGTGCAGACACTCGGCCGCTACTTCCAGGCCGGCGGCGCTCCCGAAGTGGTGGTCGACCTCTTGGCCGACAACTATCACGCCATCGCGCAGACGGCCAATCTGTTGGCCGAGTGGCTCATTATGACCGGTATGACCATCGCTGAGGTGCAGACACTCGTCGAGCAACACCTCAAGCATATGATTGTCAAACATTTTGATCCCATAAAAGCCGATTCCATCTTCAGCAACGAGACCACCGGCGTATGTCTTCCGCTCAGTCTCTCTCTCTCTCTCTCTCTCTCTCTCTCTCTCATATTTAAATATCAATTGAAAACATTTTTTTTGTTTTGTTTAGTGTTTACCAAAAACTCGTTGTCTGTCTCTGAGGTGTCGTTCATAATTTATATTTGAATTGACCATAATTTCAATACTAATGATCTAATGCCGACCACAACAGACACCCGCGTGGCTGACAGAGATGATAGCGCACCAGCCGTGGCGGGCGCTGGTCTACAAACTGGCCGAAGACTATCCGGACTGCCTTATGCTGACCTTTACGGTCAAACTGATATCGGACGCCGGCTTTCAGGGCGAGATCACCAGCATTTCCACCGCTAGCCAACAGCTGGAGGTCTTCTCACGTATACTGAAAACCGCTATCAATGGCTTCCTCGAGAGCGGCGGCGACGACACACTCGACACCAGTGCCACTGAATTCACGGTCAGTCAGTCTCCAGCACATCCACAGAGACCACTCATTGGCGATCTCTGGCCACTGAATGGCTATTTATGATCAATAAATGTGATTCTATGACCAATGAATGACAATCTGTGGCCAATGAATGGCTATTTTAACTATTATTTTGATTATTGACCACTAATTGCTTTGTTTTACACCTCGTATCGACTGTACGGCACGGGTGACCGCTGTCCGACCAAACAGAAAATGGTTTGTCACGGGGAGCACACGTTCCTCTACTCGCAGGCAATGATGAATGTGTTGGCACAGGAGTCCAAAGGCGGCGCCGCCATTAAACGCCTCTCGCAAGAGATATCCAATTACGCACAGAAACAGTTAACTAGTGTTTTAATTAATACAATAACTAAATAATTAATTATCATTATTATTAATTATCAGCGGACACGACGCCACTCCCATACTGTTGGCCCTGAACGGGGCCGCAGCGCACCCGCGAGTGAGTCAGGCGCTGAGCGCTATGCTGGCCAAGAACGCGCTCAACCCGGCGGACATTACTGTCGTATGTGTTACCATGTGTTAAATTGTCCGAAAGGCCATTAATGTAATTTATATTTGCACATCAATATAGCTATACAAAGCCTATCAGGCGCCGGACGCCCCACCCGTCGAGTTGTTACGAGTGCCCCAATTCTTGGATCTGCTGTTGGACTCGCTGTTCAAACCCCTGTGTCGTCTACACCCGGAGCACAAACCCAAATACATCTATCTGTTGGCGTACGCGGCGGCCGTACACGAGTCGCCGTCGGCCACCGCCGGTGCCGGCAAAAAGGCCGGCGCCCGCAAAGCGGTGGTTAGCAAAGACGAGCTGAAAGGCACGCATCAGGCGATCGAGAAGGTGAGCGCCATCTGCACCGAGAAGAAGGGTTCGTCGGAGTTGTTGCCGGAGCTGTCGGCGCTGTTTCAGTGCATTCGTTACCCGGTGTGCGCTCTTGGGATGTGCCACTGGGTTCGCAGTGTGGTCTCCGAACGCACGTACTTTCAGCTCAGCACTGAACACACGCCACTACATCTGGCCCTCTTGGATGAGGTAATGAACCCATAACTACCCGTTCCCTCGACTCTGAGAGAGAGAGAGACTTATCAAACAAAATAACAATGCATTTATACTAATGAATCGCTTACAACCCACCCGTGCGTACCATAGGTGACCACATGCCACACAACACTACACCCGCGAGTGCTGGACCTCTACGTCACTGTATTCGAGTCGACTCAGGAGGAGCTGGAAGTGTTGGCTCAACTGGAGGTGAAGAAGATGCTGTTGGACCGTATGGTACACCTGCTGTCGCGCGGGTGTGTCGTCCCAGTGGTTCAATACATCAAACAGTGTATCGATAGGGGCGAGACAGACATGTCGCTCATCCGGTACTTCGTGTGCGAAGTGTTGGACGTAATCACACCGCCGTTCACCGCCGACTTTGTCCAACTGTTTTACCCGGTGGTCAACAACGCGGACGTCACCGGGAGTTTACGGTCGGACGCCGAGCAACAGTTGGTGCACGAGTTTTTGTGTGAGTTTTATAACGCGTGTATCTGCGGTGCAGTCTCTTTAGTAATAGTGTTAGAGTTGGACAGCACTAGGGTTTTATATATTACAGTTAGAGGGGCTGGGAGTGGTATTATAAATTTTAATCATGTTCTTATTTGTATTAATTGTCGTTTATTTGTTTGTATTTTCAGCTCATTGTAAGGATAACTTCAAGTCATTTGTATGAAAGCAAGCCATCGACTGATTTAATAACAAACCATCTCATCATTAATTAATTGTATTGTTTTTTGTCAAAAAATATACAATAAAATAATTTTTATAGATCTCTCTCTCTCTCTCTCTCTCTCTCTCTCTCTCTAAATTATTTGTTTTATATATGAAAAGGCATTAATTACTAGAGAAAATAAAATCATAAATATTTTAATTATTAAAACAAATATTGTTTAAAACTGAAACTTTTAAACAAATGGTAAAAATCATAATTTTATTGAATCATATTTGATAACAAAACGAAAAGCGGGAACAAAATGTTTGGCATTGAAATGCAATACACAAATAGCAGGTCAAACGGGTTTACAGGTTATGTATTAAACAAAGGGTTGCATTGCATTGTGTAATGCAATAACGGGCCAAAAGCATATAGGCTACTTTTTTGGAATAGAATAACGCTTTATACGAGTTTTCATATTTGTTATGAATATTTGAAAGACATGTTCGTGATTGCATAATATATGCACATATTTAATATGCAGCAAAAGTTTGAAACTTTTTCATTTTAGTTTAATCTTGGTTCATTTGTTGAGTGCCTTATATTAATGTCTGTCATACTGTTCAACAGATTGACTGATGACAATCATCGCTTGTCCAAAGAGTTGTCACTTTTGCGACAATTGTGCGAATGTTTGACAAATATTAGGCAAAATTCATTTGATTTGATAAATAATTGTAAATGTAATAAAAATTGTGAAATAGTTCACCATTTGTCTAAATCTGAGACAAGTTATCAGTCGTTGAAAAGTACACAAAATCTTGACAACAATCAAATCAAAGGTAAATCATAGTTATGTAACAATATATAAATAATAATTTTAGGATTATTTTCGGTACTATAAATATTTATTAATATTTTCAAATACACTTAATTTATTTATGCACTATTATTAACTGTACAGTATGTTAAAATATTAACAGTATTTAAAGATTTATATTCGCGAAATTATGGTATACTAATATGATTATGGTTTTCATGATTTAATCAATATGAGAAATTCTCAATAATTACAGAGAAATCAAAATTTTAAATCAATTATTGTTATCGTTTTAGTTTAATTAAATTTTTAATTTATATTACGAAACAAGGAGTGAATGGAAAGAACTTCGGGACAACTTTTGAACATAAATCAAATGATAAGTCCATCGCTTCAAAGCGACCCCTTTTGTGCCGCACAATAGATGGACAAACGGGTGGCCGAGTGTTCACTTCCTCCGCCGTCTCGACCGATACTAGCGATCCTATCATTGAATCTAATCTCTCGTCCATTGAGTTGAATAACACCGCAACTGATCCAATAGTTTTAGGTATTTTAAAACTTAATAAAATTAAAATAAATTTGCAAATTATTATAAAATTTTATCATAAATCTTAAAACATGCTCTCAGTAAATGAGATACAAGCGATGGCCAGACAGTCGCCGACACCACCGCAAGAGATCATTGATATTAGTGCACTCGACAGCGAAGACATCGCAACCAACAAACAAACACTTTGCAAAGAGTTGTCATTTTTGCGACAATTATGCAAATGTTTGGAAAAAATTAAACAAAAATCATTGATTTTAATAAATAATTGTAAATGTAAGCAAAATATTGAAATATTTCACCATTTGCTTAAATTGGAGACAACCTTTCACTCGTTAAACAACACACTAAATGTTGCCAACAATGAAAATAACGGTAAATATTATAACAACATTAGTTATGGCCAACAAATATATGCATAATTTTCATTATTTTAAATTTTAACCTCATTTGGTCAGCAAATGAGACACATGCGATGGCCAGACCGTTGCCAACTCCACCCCAAGTGAACAATGATATGGTCGACAACAGCGATGGCGAAGACACAGCCGCTACGCCTATTGTTAATGACCAGCCGTTGATCACAGGCTCTGGAACAGTGAGGGACGGCCCGCACGTGTTTCGCCTATCGTTGGCGCCGACGACGTCCCGTCACTACGACATTGTGCCTAAAACAGTGACCAATGGCTGTCTTCTAGATCGCGAACCAACACCGGGTGTGCGTACGGGTGTCGGAGCCGACGCCATATCCCAACACGAGACCGTTGAACCAAATCTGGTTATTGACTTAAATGCCACCGAATGTGATGAACAACAAAGAGCTGATCCAATAGTTTCCGGTAAATTAGTGGCCGAAATCAACAATAAATATTTCATTTAATTTATGCATTTTTAATGCCATTCTTTGACAGATAATGGCCACGAAGAGCGGCCGACGCCAGTAATGGACAGTCCGTTCGCGCATAAAATCATTGAAATACACGATACAACCGCTAATGAGACGATGGCTGACGACGGCGGCCAAACACCGCGGGCCGAGTCAACTGTCGGCCAATCGTCGCACACGAGATGGTCACCGGCAGTGACCGGAGGCCCGTCCACTGCTTTAGGTAATGGCGACGGCGGCATCGCGTGTCGGCTACAGTCGTGTGGCCAGCAATTCCGAAACCGGCATAATAGGCTGCGACACGAGAGGGCGGCTCACCCTTGGCTACTGCCTTACTGCCCCAACTGTGACCGTTGCTTCACATCGCAGGGCCACCTCAACAAACACGTGCGCACAGTTCACGCGCGTCGATCGTTTGTGTGTCCGTACAGGGGGTGCGGCCGGGCGTACGCCTCACTTCATTATCTCAACACTCATAAAGCAGTCGTTCATTTCAGTGCCGACGGTATGATTGGTCACGCGTTACTGGACATGGAGTTAACAAACACACTAAATGTTGCCGACAATCAAAATTACGGTAAATAATATAACAATAGTTATGGCCAACAAATATATGCATAATTTTCCTTATCTTAAATTGTAACCTCATTTGGTCAGCAAATAACACACATTGTATGGCCAGACCGTTGCCAACTCCGCAAATGAACAATGATATGGTCGACAACAGCGATGGCGAAGACACAGCCGCACAGCCTATTGTTAATGACCAGCCGTTGATCACAGGCTCCGGGACAGTGCGGGTCATTATGGCCGCGGACGGCCCGCACGTGTTTCGCCTATCGTTGGCGCCGACAACGTCCGGTCACTACGACATTGTGCCTAAAACAGTGACCAATGGCTGTCTTCAGGAACGCGAACCAACACCGGGTGTGCGTACGGGTGTTGGAGCCGACGCCATATCCCGATATAAGACAATCGGCGCCAAGACATGGGTGCCGTCGATCGCGGACCCGTTGACCAGCCCTATAAGCGGCCAAACTTGTGACCGGGAGTTGACCGCTGATGACGTCGATGAGGACGAGACCATTGAACCAAATCTGGTGATTGACTTAAATCCCACCGAATGTGTTGAACAACAAAGAGTTGATCCAATAGTTTCCGGTAAATTAGTGGCCGAAATAAACAAGTTCATTTAATTCACGCATTTTGAATGCCATTCCTCGACAGACAATGTCCACGAAGAGCGGCCGACGCCAGTAATGGACATTCCGTTTGCGCAACAGATCATTGAAATAAGCGATACAACCGCTAATGAGACGATGGCTGATATACGGGTTGGCGGCCAAACACCGCGGGCCGAGTCAACTATCGGCCAATTGTCACAAACGCGATGGTCACCGACAGTGACCAGAGCCACGTCCACTGCTTTGGGTAATGACTCGGGCGGTATCGCGTGTCGGCTACAGTCGTGCGGCCAACGATTCCGGAGCCGGCATAATATGCTGCAACACGAGAGGGCGGCTCACCCTTGGCTACTGGCTTACGGGTGTCGGCGCCCCTACTGTGGCCTTTGGTTCGCATCGCAGGACAAACTCAATCAACACGTGCGCACAGTTCACGCGCGTCGACCGTTTGCGTGTCCGTACAGGGGGTGCGGTCAGGCGTACGCCTCACTTGATTATCTCAACACTCATTTAGCAGTCGTTCATTTCACTGCTGACCGTATGATTGGTCACCCGTTGCCGATCGCGGACCCGTTGACCAGCCCTATAAGCGGCCAAACTTATGACCGGGAGTTGACCGCTGATGACGTCGATGAGGACGAGACTGTTGAAACAAATCTGGTGATTGACTTAAATGCCACCGAATGTGTTGAACAACAAAGAGCTGATCCAATAGTTTCCGGTAAATTAGTGGCCGTATTAACAATAAATATTTCATTTAATTCATGCATTTTTAATGCCATTCCTCGACAGACAATGGCCACGAAGAGAGGCCGACGCCAGTAATGGACAGTCCGTTTGCGCAACAGATCATTAAAATAAGCGATACAACCGCTAATGAGACGATGGCTGACGACGGCGGCCAAACACCGCGGGCCGAGTCAACTGTCGGCCAATCGTCGCACACGAGATGGTCACCGGCAGTGACCAGAGCCACATCCACTGCTTTGGGTAATGGCGACGGCGTTATCGCGTGTCGGCTGTGGTCGTGCGGCCAACGATTCCAGAGCCGGTATTATATGTTTGAACACGTGAGGGCCGCTCACCCGTCGCAACTGCCTTACCGGTGTCGGCGCACCAACTGTGACCGTTGGTTCACATCGCAGGGCCACCTCAACAAACACATGCGCACAGTTCACTCGCGTCGGACGTTTGAGTGTCCGTACAGGGGGTGCGGCCGGGAGTACGCCTCACGTCATAATCTGAATACTCACATAGCAATCAGTCATTTCACTCCAGAACGTATGATTGGCCACCCGTTGCCAGACATGGAGTCCAGGTTTCCCCCGATATATCAACGCAATTAAGCGTAAATCAATTCATATCCAGGATATAATATAAGCAATTGATTGGCCACACATAACCAGGTGTGTTGTCGGCAATAAACATACCAATGGTTAGCCTACATCTGTGGTCACTACCGTTGTGCCATACTATCATTTGCCTTACATAATGTGATAATTATTTGTTTTTTTATAGTCACAGAAAGGGTTATTTCATTTGTCATAGGTAAATTTATATTGAAGTTTTCAATGTATACATTCACACTCATTATAAATTAAATGTCCCTCTCTCTGACTATAAAAAACATAATATTATTATGTTATTCAGTTAATTTCACATTTAAAATTATAGAAAAAATTGTTATTATTAATCGGCAAATAAGTTAACACATATCTGACTCTTTCTGTTTCGTATAATTTATACGGTATAAAGTAAAGAGACTTTATATCAAAACTTTATATCAATAAAGAATACAAAATAATCATTAAAAATTTAAAACAATTTTTACAATTAATTAAAAATTAATTATAAACAGTATTTTAATGAAATGCTGGGGATATTATAGCACCGGCTGTGGTTTATGTCAAGCAAATCCATTGTCTCAGAGATAATCCTTTCGCTAAGCCCTAAACCTAACTGACAAATGTGAGAAATAAATGCTCCCGAGCTATGGACAAGCTAACAGTTTTTTGTGCTACATAAAGGTTTGTTAATAACAAATTGTTAAACTGTATATGTTTTTTGATTATATAAGAATAACTTATGCAATATTAAAAAATTGATTTAAACTATTCAAATATATGGCACAGGGAGGGGGAGTGTATGGGTTGCCAGTGGTTACTAATTATGTGTATTGTGACAGTAATGTCAACACTCGTTGAATACCTGTCCCCACTATCCCTTCCCTCTCTCTCCCACCCGTTCCTCCTTTTCCTGATATTCATGAGATGTGTATACAGTTATAGCAAAAGTCGTGTAAATAAATAAATAATTATATAAATACTGGTTATGCGAGAGCTGAGAGAGCAAGTATTTCAGGTACTCTCTCTCTCTCTCTCTCTCTCTCTCTCTCTC